GTCACAACACTTATTTACACAGAAGCAGGGCTACGTGGGGAGTCCAACCGATATGGAGATTCTTCTATTTTTGTTTTTAGCTTAATTTATCTTTTAAAATACATAATATATTCACAAGATTCAAAAGTTAAAAATGTATAATGGTATATATATATATACATATATATATATATACCAATATATATGTATATATCTTATTTCCTTTTCACCCCTATTCCTAATTCACGATTGTCTAATCCCCTGCACTCTTAATCCACTAATAGCTACTCTTAATAATATTTATTTCCCCTTCTATGATCATTTAGGCAGCTAGGAGTAAATATGAATTTTTTTAATTCCTCCCTCCACTTTTGTACACACATTATAACACGCAGCCTACATCTTTCTGTGCCCTGTCTTTTTTCCATTTGTGCCACAGATCGGGACATAAAGACCTCTCTCTTTCCTTTGTCCACATTTCCAGTGCACCCCCACAGGTGTAGTCGCCCACAGATTTAAACAGTTCCTTATTATGGTGCAAAACGATACCTAACCTTATGCTGTTACAAAAATGCTGTAAATAATATCCTCAAACATGAAAAGGAAGATTGTTTTAGACTTGTACAAATAAAAGTTGATTAGCATCTTAATCAGTCTGGCTTATGGTATAAGGAAGGTAATTCTGTGGTGTGTGTGGGGTGAGAAGGGGATTTGGGCAGAACAGTTAAAGTGTGGACCTCATTTTAAATACTTGTGTACCAAGAATTTATATTTTACCTGTCTACCCAGTTATCCTGGTTTTGCCATAAGTACAATCAGAGTCATCCCTGCCCTGACAGGGAGCAAAGCCACAAGGAGGCTTCAAAAGGTTCATGGAAAAATAGAATGAAAAGATCATGGAATTCTTCCATGATCTTTTTGAAGCCCTCTTGTACTTCAGAGCAGATACCAGGGCAGGTGTTCTTTCAGTGTCCTTTAAATATTTAATTTTTATACATTGGAGGTGGAGAGAAACAGATTTTGTTAATGCATTTTACAACAAATTCATTCATTCCTACTAGCTGAAACAGGAGTATTCTGAAAACATCAACCTCAAATTTTACTTTTCTTATAGTCCTTGTTCTCTTTTCAAACTCTCATATTTCTATTTATACTTTTATATGTAAATGTATGTTTATATGTATATTATTTATATTTATACTTTGTATGTGTTTATATATTCATATTTATGAGTCAGACAAGTTCCGCAGAGGCACACAGAGACATTTATAGTTTAGGGAACACGAAAGACACACTCTAATCAGCTAAACAGCATTGCTCAGAGATCATTTCATTTTAGAATGTTCGTTCAGCCAAATTTCATTGTAGGGCAGGGGAAAAAAATCCCCAAACTTTGGAATACGCCTACTTTGTTGTTGTTGTGTGCCAGGGAGATTTTGCTGTTGTGTTGATTTTTGTAAATTTACTCCTAAGGTTAGTACTTTGGCGCACTGGTTCCCATTTTGCCAGTTTGCTCCAGTGGTAAGCATCGCCTGGGTCAGTGCCCACCTGGTCAGACTGGCAGATTCCCTCATGTGTTTCTGGGTCACAAATATAATACAAGATAAGCACTGAACAAGTGGAATACAAAGTGCTGTGGAGCGCCGCGAAAAAGACATCATTTCGTGGTAGTTTGTATACGGGGAGCAAGCGGGAGTTTTAGGGTTGGAAAGCAGACCCAGCTGCTTAGTTTGAGACCTGCACAAACTGAATGGGCTCCTAGGTGACGCGAATGGTTTGTGACTGAATATGGAACTAAAGGTTGGCTTTCAAACCGACCCACTGGCACCCAGAAAAAACCATGAAGGGCACGAAATCCTATTCTGGAATATGTGGGTTCGCCAGGAGTCAGAATCAACAGCAAGGAGTTTTTGGTTTTGCACAAAATGAAAATGAGGGGCTCTTGCTAAAAAAAAAAACTATGACAAATTTCAAGACAACAACCAAACCAAAAACCCACTGCCATCAATAAATGCCAAATCATAGTGACCCTACAGGACATGGTAGAACTGCCCCTGTGGGTTGCCAATACTGTAACGCAACCTGCAGGGTGGCTGGTGGTTTCAAACCACAGACCTTTTGGATCACAGGCCAACTCAAAGCCACTATGCCACCAGGGGTGCCACAAGACAATAGCCAAGCGTTAAACCAAGTGAGTGCCCTGTGCAACTGCTCAGGTTGTGTGCCCACCAGTCCCACTCTGATAGAGAGGCTTGAGTTTAAATTTCATCCGTGTCGCTCAAAATTCCAATACCACTAAGCAAGTCACTTACCCCCTGAGACTCTTAATTTTCTCTTCTATGGAAGATAATGGAACCTTCCTTGATGAGTGGACATGACGGTGAAATGAAAAGCGCTGGACATCTAGTCAGCACACACATTCCTCCTTTCTTCATCCATGTTGTGGCCTCTTTCCCTCAGCTCGTCAAGAGTCCATCTTTAACCTCCTATCTCCATTGTTCACTTTCCATTGAAAACATCCCCAAATGTACTGGAGCAAACCTTACCAAACTGCCCATGTACCCATTTGTGGCCTAACAGCCATTTATATGGTTCAAGCAAATTCAGTTCAGCATGGTTTGGAACAGCACTATATTTAGAACAAAGACACCTGCCCCCATTTCCTCCACCCACACTTTAGGGGACATGGGTCTCTGTCCCCAAGGATGTCATTAGGGTTGGTATCTTTTCCCACCCTCAAAAGCCCTCTTCCAATACTAGATGTCATTACTATTTATCATAAAATATGTGGCACAGCTGTGAATTGCTCAATTGTAATTATTTCTTAGATTAAACGAATAGTAAGAAAATTATTTTGTAAAATAATGCTCCATTGAATTACCTTATTAGTTAACTGAAGAAACCTTTTTGGATATTTCCCTTTTCCTTTAATCACTACTTCCCTTATCCTTTACCAAACTAGGAATCCCTGACCCACGGGAGCTCTTGTCCTACTGTATATGCTAGGTCTAGCTGTCAAGGCCTAGTACACGTCTAGCCATGACCTACTCTTCCAACTTTATGGATAGCCACCTCTTTACACCTCTCCCACGCTACGTGGTTCCCCACATCTGGGCTTAAGAGAAACAAAACAAAAACACTTCTGTGTCTTTCTACATTATGCAGTTTCAAATCCTTCCAAACTTTCTTCACTTGATGAAATTCTACTAATACTTTAAGACACCATTTATATGTCAATTTCTATAGTAAATTATCTTTTTTACCCACCAAACCCCCTAAACATATCCTGGACCCCAGGGAGAATTAGATTGTTGTTCTTTTCTCAACACCTGCTGAAAACACATCACACGTCGTTGTCATTGTTTCTTGCCCCTACTCCATATGCAAGCTTTTCCAGGGTAGAAAGCATACGTGCTCAGGTTTATTCTGAATGCCTCGCCTAGTGGCTGGCACCCGGTAGAAAGCCAGCATGTCTTTTAGTGGAGCATAGTCATCAAAATCCCTGCTCCCCAAGGAATGAAGAAAACGAGCAAATTACCAAATGTTTCCTCTTCTTTAAAATAGGAATGAGCATGATACCTTCTTGAATACTGATGATTAAATAAAACATACATTCGAACTATTTCAGTGCAATGAGAAATAGTACCGCTTCAATAAAAGAGCCTTGATTGAATTAGGGCCTATATTCTGATTCTTGTTAACATGTAAAAGGAAGTAAGTAGTACTTTGAAATGAACAACATACTTTCTATCTTAATGAGCAAAACTTAGTATGTAATAGCAAAATCTTAATAGAAGTATAAGGAAATAGGTTTAAATTTGCTTGAGGTTAAATTGTGCTTGCTTAGAAATTGTTTAGGTTTGAGTCCTGGGTTGGCCCTCTACCTCCCCAAAATTGTTTAACAGACACCTAGTAATATCTTAATACAAACTTAAATAATTGTGACTCTTGGCATGCTTAGCATCAAAATGAGTGAGAAAATACTATATCACCACTTACTTTGAGATATATTCAGAATCATGTCTACATATCAGTCACTAAACATAGGGAAATAAGGAAGCATAAAGTATATTTTATAGCTATACTTTAAGAACTTTAAATATATCAAAACAATTCACTCTTAATTGCCTAATCATCTCTACACAGTGTTGCAAATATACATGCAACATTTAGTTTGTTTTCTTAATTAAAAAAAGGAACAAATAACTGCAATTAGAATAAAAAACAGAAAACAATTGTTATGAGTTGCTAGTGAATCATACCCCCAAATTGGGGCCTGTGTTCTACTCACATATTGTGTAATATTAAATGAAACTACTAATACCTGCGTTATTGCTCATCTAAACCCTACTTTTATCTTTTGAAAATTGGAATATGATCTAAGCTTACAGGAAAAATAAAAATTGGCTAATTTACTTAATGTCATACGGAGTAACTATTATAAAGTTCATCTACTTTGGCAAAGGATTTAATAATCTCAATCTCTTTTTCCAACCTGGAAACTAAAACAGAGTACTACTGTAAGGTAGCTGAAGACAAGCAACTGTGTGGCCAGTTGCAAAATCAGACACTTATTTCTGCAAAGGATCCAGGCTATTATGATGCTGCTACCTACTAGAATCTACAGCCTCCATGACAAGACTCTATAATCCTGCCTGTCAAAGGTTAATTGTCCTATTTATTTTTTTCATAATAGCACATATTGTACATCCAAGGGCCACTGAAATCATAGAAGCTACTAATTAAAGCTCTTAGAATAGATATACTTGAGGTTGAGTATAAACAAGTTATGGGACATGAAGCTACTGACAGAAAAATTCTGGAAATTTTCATAGGCACAAAGGCAATCTGGTAAATCTCCGATTTCCTGGGTGGTAGGACGGACCATTCATGTTAGCTTTACGATAAGAACAACATGATCACAGTAAAGTAGCTTTTCTTTGAGTTTCCTTTTGTGCTTAAAATAATATATGGGATATTACTTTCATCTAAATCAAAGCCCAGAGGAAGGAGACCCTTCCTTATGGAAAGAGATGGCGAAGCTTGGCGTTGAGTTCTCTCTCCTTGCTTAGAAGATCCAGGCTGTGCTTCTTAAAAGCTTCAGACTGCAGCCTGAGTTCATCGTAGGCCTTCTGGATCCCATCCACTCTGCGCTGTAGCTCTCGGACCCTCAAATTGCTGTCCACAGCCACTGCCTCTTGCTCAAACCGATCTAGGGCATGCCTCCTGGCCACATCTGCTGTCTCCAACTTCTCCTCCAGCAGGCGGATCTCTGCCTGTTTGTTCTGAAGCACCTTGCCCCTCTCCATGGACAACTGCAGCAGCTCCTCTTTCTCGCGGGTGAGGGTCTGCAGTCGGGTTTGCAGCTCCTGGCTCAGGCTGCTGTGGGCCTCCTCAGCCTTGACCACCTGCTCCATGGCCCGCTGGTGCTGCTGCTTGAGGTCCTGCACCTGGCTGCACAGCTGCTTCATCTCCTTGGCGTGGGTGCAGGCCTGCTGGCTCTGCAGCTCCAGCAGCTCCTTCTCGCGGGCCTGTGCCTGGGTGGCATGCTGAAGACACCTCTGTTTCAGCGTCTCCAGCTCCTTGGTGAGGATCTCACTGTGGGTGGTGAGCTGCGACACTTTGGCCTCCTGGTCCTTTAGCGCCTGGCTGAAGAGGGTGTTGTTCTCGAGTCTCAGCTTCGCATTCTCCTCTTTGAGCTTGACGTTCTGCTGCTTATGTTCATCCTTGAACCGGATCATCAGCTCATGGTTGGCGGCCAGAGTCATAAAGCGTTCCTCCAGCTTCTGGGCCAGCTCGCACTGGGCCTTGAGCTTCTCGGCTTCCTCCGTCCTCTTGTCCTCCAGTTCCGTGTTGAGCAGCTCCAGGACCTGGCATCGCTCCAGGGCCTTATCGGCCCTTCTTTTCAGGATGCAGATGAGCTGGGACTGCTCGTCGAGGCGGGAGTGAAGCATGGCCTTCTCAGTCTTCTCTTCCTTGGTCAGTCCCCTGAGGTTGGCCAAGGCTTCCTTCAGACCATCCAGTTCCTTAAACTCCTCCTCCTCGGCCTGATTTTTCAGTTTGTCATCTTCTTTATCTAAAGGTCCTTCAGGAGAGTGGAGGGATGCGTCCATCTTGCGAGTCTGCTGCTCCTGATGCCTAGACACCCTTTTCTCCTGAAGGCTGACTACACAGTCTTCCCCTCTCAAGTTTCAAAAGCTGCAGAGAGTTGCTAAGGACTCCTGGCACTTAGCACTTAGCAGCAGTTGGGGTGGTTTTTTTCCCCCCTAGTAAGAAGCCTTCTGATTGGTGGACAGGGTTCAGAATGCTGTGAAGTAACAGAATGACTTGCGAGAGCACAGAGGCCAGCTTGTCAGCACAGCTCTCTGGTCACAGATGGCATCACTCCCATTTCTGGCCAGCATCAGGGCAAGAAACTGAACTCCAGTTAATTCCTGTAGGAGCAAACAAATCAAGCAGAGAGTGACGTTTTCCTCCTTTCTCTTCCTCCTTCAGTTGTCAAGCGAATACATTACTGTTTGCAGAAATACCGTTGGCTCTTCAGAGATGTGTAAGCCCTGAATGTAAAGTAGCAGGTACTCAGAGCCAGGCTCCGAGTGGCAGTGGGTCTGGACCTGTAGTGTCCAGTGCAGTGCAGTTTTGCTGAGCTCATCTATTGATTGGCTCACCGCTCTGAGGTGAGACGTCTGGAATTAAGATGTCTCTCCGGAGGGTCTCTGGAAGATTTTATCTCACCCTTTCTTAGCTTCTTGGGGTTTGTGGGAAATCCTTGGCATTCCTTGGCTTGGAGGTGCACCACTCTAGTCAGGCACACTCCATTTTGATATTTAAATATGAAAATAGTCCACTGATGAGGTGCCTTTGGTGTCCTCTAGGAATGCCTTTGTCTCCATCTGGGAATCAATGTTTTCTACTAGCTGTTAATCTGTCTAAGTCTGGAAACTCTCCTGAAACTGGTCCACCCTTGGGATCCTGCTGTTATTTGAAATATCAGTGGCATAGCTTCCAGCATCACAAGACACTATAGTAAGACCAATTGACAGATGAGTCGTGGTAACAACACATTAGATATTTGATTTCCATCCATTTGCAAAGTAAGACCGTACTATAAAAAGGCTTAATGCACTATACAGATGTAGTGAACATTAAAACAGGGGGGAAAAATCCAAGAGGCTTACTGTCATACAGCATGCCAGACTATGCCTCCACCCTGGGCTGATGTTGAGTTTGAGTCCCCTTCCCCCTTGCTAAGTCAGAGGAGGTCAGTGAGATGTGGTCCCCACAGCACTCCTGCAGCCATAAAACTTGGTCAATGCTCTTTCTAGCGGGGACCAATTAGTCCCCTCCACACTGCTAAATTTTCCTCATAAGCTTCTATTGACAGGGCTCTGCTTGACATAAGCCCTTAAATGTTAACAGGAAGCTAGAGGAAAAATGATCAGAAACTTGACCTCACATCTTGACTGAGGTACCGTGCACGGGAGGAGAGGAAACAGCCTGCTTTCCAGAAGGCTGAAGAAGAGTCAGTTCTTTCAGAACAAGTCAACTGTGGGAAACTAACAAATGTCATTCCCACGGATTCTCCCCTAACATCTATGCTGCCTTCAAGTGAGCACATGGTTGATTCTGTCTCCCTGTAGAAGCAGACATTCCCTGATTATTTCCTCCCACCAAGGCACCCATCCCCTTATTGCCTTCCCCCAATGCAGGTATTGGGTTTCCTCAACCGTGAGCTCAGGGATGGGTGACCCATGGCACCCATGATTACCACCCACCTTGTGACATATGTAACTACTGAATATGCAGGTCTTATGGATACCTACAAATAGCCCCAAAACAATAAAGATGCTCTCTCCTCCGGTCCCCAGTCTCCCTCTCCAGCCCTGTTCCCTCTCCTCTGGTTCTCCTCTGCTCTCTCTCCCCTGCCAGTCCCACCTTCCACCTCTCCACGTGGACCACCAAGCAGGGCTGAGGTGAGCATGCTACCATGAAATGTGTCCGACTCCTTCATTTCACTCTCTCTTCTATCTCTCCTATTCTCTATGACTTTACTGTAATCTTTACATTTTAATATTATCACTGTACAATTGTGCCTGCTGGGCCTATAATGATTTGTTAAGGGCTGGCTCCCCTGACAGTCAACCAAAGTGGAAGGGAGGTCTGTAACTGGGTTTAGTACTTGGGTGCATTTATTTTCTAAAATACCCACTCCACACTTATTGACATAACTAGGTTTCAAAGATTAGGTCATTATGTGAAAAATGGCATGATATGAAAATGCAGATTAATCATTTCAGACCACATGATGGTGGTTATGCCACCACCATAATACATCACATCTGCCAAACCACTGGGAATCCCTGCTCACCAAGTTGACACCACAGCCATTGTTACTCTTGTCTCACATCTCAGAATTCATTACTGCCAGGTGGGTGTCATCAACATGTTAATAGCTGAACATATTTTATTTTACTATTGTTGTAAAAGTGAAATGTCCAATAGCATGAGAGTTGATAGATGAGGAGTGGGTTTTGTAAAATTAGTAGATAAGCCTGGAGGAAGTGAGGACAAAAGAGAGGATGAGACAGTAGCCCCAGAGCTAAATGGGGATCAGAATGCAGGAGAAAGCAGATGGATGATCCAGAGGCTTTTGCCTTGGGTATTAAGCTTGGATGATTAATGCCCAAAGCTGGGTGACTGGGGAAACAAATCCAGAGACACTCATATGTGTGTGAGAGAGAGCTCTATATCAAAGAGCAATTGTACATAAAGAAAACATCCCAGCCCAGTCCAGATCCAGTCCATAAATCCAATATTATCTCATATTATCAATACTAGTCCATAAATTCCTCTGTAGACGCACGCAGCCATGCAATGATACTGAATGCGGGAAGATCACAGGTCAGTGGGTGGAAAGTCTTGTGGATCCAGTGGTGGTGGAATCATCTCAGCACTGGAGTGGGTCTCCAGGTGGCTCCTTCAGCCCCAGGGCTCTGGCTGCATCAGTGTAGCTCCATGTGACTTGTCAGCAGAAAGACGAAGCAGAGAGTGTCTCTGCCCTCCATTGAGCTATTTATCTCTGCGCCTCCAAATGAGGTCATCAAGCGGCGACCTGATTGACAGGCTAGACTCCACCCCTTCTCAAGTTGGCAGGAGATTATGTAACTACTACAGATAATGAGGGTGAACAAAGAAATCCAAGACCTGATTGACAGGCTAGACTCCACCCCTTCTCAAGTTGGCAGGAGATTATGTAACTACTACAGATAATGAGGGTGAACAAAGAAATCCAAGCAAGTATCCTGGTAAATATAGCTGAATAGAAGGTTGCTAGGTCTCTCTGAAAGTAGTTAGCCATGTTTAACAATAAACATGCTTTTGATGGACTCTTATGTCGTGTATGGGGAGAAAGATGGGGCCTCCTACTACCATGAACGAGTAGGCTCTGAAACTCACAGGGGCAGTTCTACCCTGCCCTATAGGGTCACTCTGAGCTGGAACAGACTCAATGGTAGTGAATGTCATGTGGGAACCCTGGTGGTGTAGTGGTTATGAGTTGGGCTGCTAACCACAAGGTCAGCAGTTCAAAACCACCAGCTCTTCCCATAGAGTTACAGTCTTGGAAATTCATAGGGGCAGTTCTACCTTGTCCCAAGGTTACCATAAATCTATATGGACTTGACTGTAGTGAGAGTTTATTTTTTTGGATTTTATTTCATGTGAACAGGTCTTTCATAGATTTCTCCCAGGATCTTACCTACTTAGAAGCTGTTGCAATTTTGGTGGTTGGGAATTATTGGCCTTTCTGAAAATATCCATCAGTGGCTCCTTGAGATAATATTTCCTTTTTCAAACTAATGAAATTTTAAATAGTTTTCATATGAGCGAGAGACACGTATATGGCTATTCGACTCTTGATTTCCCTTGAATTTGCCTCTATAAAACACCCCATTTTGATAATGGACCGACTCTTCCTGTCCACAGAGGTGAGCACATAATACAGGCCTGGTCAATGAGAAGACCTTACCCCAACGACTCCCAGCCACAGTGAATGGTGAAGGGTTAAGGTGACCCAAGGCTGGCTAGTTTCACTCAGAGCTTTCTCAAGCTGAACCGTGGAAAGAAAAGCGTTTTAAATGAGAGGCTGTAATGAGATGCCTGGGATGTTATTTCCTACCTCATGAGGAAGATGAGAAACTTAGAGTGTGGGACAACACTTGAGTTCTGATTCTGGCCTGATTCTCCAGTCGTCTAGGTTCCTGCAACACTTCTTTAATTCTGTGAGAGAATCCACGGTTTTTCCTACAAATCCCCTCCCCCCCCTTTGGGCTTATTTACTGTTGAGTGTTTAGTACTAGCAACTTCACAGAAGTCCTAACACGTGCAGTTCAAGGAAATACCTCCAATGGGAGTATACCCAGGAATAAAGGCTTAACAGAGGACATTTGTATATGCATAGTTACTTCTGCTGCAAATATATCCATGAATGTGGTAGAGCACAGAGGGGCAAGGGTGGGAAATCTTCTTAGACATAATCAAACAACTTGAGGGAAAGGGTACCTGGGCCTAGGGCAGTGATTCTCAACCTTTTAATTAATTTCTACTTTTAATATTTTACATTGGGAATCCTAAAATCTAAATTCTTTAGCAAGGCTAGAGAAGTTCCTGTGGACTAATGTTTCTTGAAAATCCTTACTACAACTTTAGACTTCATTTCTCCTTAGAGGAAAACATTACTAAGATTAAGGTTTTTATTAATTTGAATTAATTAAAAAACAGGAATATAAAAGATAAAAAATCAAGCTAGATTGCCAATTTAAATTATGTAATAATTTATTCTAAGGGTCTTTACAAAATACTTTTTGAAAATTATACATACATAGGAAGTACAGTACCATTTAGCAATTGACAGTCTAATGAAAAAATGTGGCAAAGCACATATGTGATTACTCATGGTGCTCTCCTATACTAAAGCTGTAAGAAAAACAATTATATCTGAGGGTTTTTTGAGGGGAAACATATTATACTATAAAATATAGATTTCAGACCAAGTTTAAGCACAATTAGCCAAAATACCGGGCAACCACTGAATTCCGTCTGTGGCCAGTAGATGGCACCCACACACACCTGAGACGGGCTTTAACGCTGGGAGAAAGGAAAAGCAGTTTTTCAAGGCAGAAAACACATGAAATAAACTCAGTCTCTCAGCCTTAACATAGAATTTAATGTCTTAATAGATATTACAGAGTAAATAGTTTCCTTTATCATCACTGATGTTCTGCCTTTTCTTCCTTTAAGACCATGTTCGGCAAACTTTTCAACAATGTCCTTCTGTTTATATGGCTCCTGGAAGGGTTTTGCATGACCAAATGACACAAGGTTATGGTGTGAAATACATGATGACAACTTAGAAAAATCTTGCTACTTAGAAACACCCTGTATTCAATATTTTTTGGTAGCAGAAATGGTTAGAATTTCCTCACGGGATCACCTATCTTTAATGTTGGAACTGCACAGAAGCTACATTTAAACTTGTCATTTCAGGCAGTACCCGGATTATGAACACCCAACTCTCAACTCATAGTACAAACTGGCCCTCTTAACAACAATTATATTAAAAATTAGAGGTACATACGCTTGCTCATAGTAACAAATGGGCACTATTTTGTGACATGCATCAAAACATATTATCATAGTATTATTATATTGGATGATTTGGCATATCTGGAACTATTTCCTTAGATATTTTTATGCATATAAAGATACAATACATACATACTAAGACAAATATTGGACTAACTGATGTTAAATATGAACCAGACCTAACGGTTCCAACTTATGTATACACTCGTGTGTAAGCCGATTGTTTCAGCACATTTTTAATGCAGTTTTTGTGGTAAAATTAGGTGTCTCGGCTGATATTCGGGTCGGCTTATACTCAAGTACATACGGTATGTACAAATTCCACTTAAAGACAGGCTTAGGGATGGAACTTGTTCAGAACTCGGGGAGAGGGTGTGTGAGACTGTCTGTATGTAAATGCCATGGGTCTTGTAACCAAAAAACAAAGTACATGCGGGTTGATTTTAACATGCTATGTAATATCCTTTAGTAGATAAGACAGTGAGGGTCTCTGTCCACAGAGTCAGACTTTTAAGATCGGCCTCCATTGGTTTGGAAGTTTCCAGTGGGGAGGACAGTGGATGCTGAGTTCACTTGGAAATCTTGGCAATCAGTAGCATCCGGAGGGGCAGTGTCGCTTCAACCCAAGTATTGGGGGACTCTACCATCTTCTCCCAGAGAGCAACTTCCTCTGAAGTAGAGTCCATCCAGTCTACTTCTGTACCATAGCTTTTACCTTACAAAAAATTTAAAAAGGAAGATTTTGCATTTAGAAAGGAATAGCTCATTGGGGTCGGGTGCGGTGTTATCCTGAAGTAGAACTGCCAAGGGAAGATAACTAAGCAGAGCTTCAGCATCAGCAGCACAGACATCTGGGATTCACTATAAGAAAGAACGCTTTAACCATCTCAGAGACCCACAGGGTTGTTCTGTCCTGTTCAGTGGGATCCCTATGAGTTGGTATCAACTCAGTAGCAGTGAGTAATGATGTCCAATAATGGGGGACCTCATTATTGAGACTATTTCCTCCATGCGCTCCCTCCCCCCGCCTCCCCCATCCCACCCCACCCCCGCCCAGAGTAATGATGTCGCCATAGTAATGGAAAGGCTAGTTGAAAATACACTAGAGACCATGGAGAGTGGGGAGGATTTCTGGATTGCATTAGAGGGGTGAGACTAGATGATCCCTAAAGAAGTGTGGTTAAGCCTTTAGTGTTTGAAAGACTCATTCTATTCTTGGCTCTCGATTATCGAAGTGCATGGTACATCAGTTCCTCTACTGCAAAAAGTTGGCGGCATTTACTAGTAACAGCCTCATAAAGTGGTTGTGAACATGAAACGAAATACTGCAAGCGCAGTACTTAACACGGAACCTAGACCATAATAACCACCAAGCCAAACCCACCGCTGTCAAGTCCATTCTGACTCACAGGCATGACCTACAGAGGAGAGGAACGACTGCTCACAGGGTTTCCAAGACTGGAATCTTGACAGTAGAGGACTGCCACGTCTGCCTGCCATGGAGGAGGTAGGTTTGAACCACCAGTCTTTCAGTTAGCAGCCAAGTAAGTGCTTTAACCACTGTATTCCTTAGAATACAGTTAGTCCTCTATAGACTAATATCCAATGCGGTTTTAGCACTGTCATAACACAGAGGCGCGATGAATAGTGATGAATGTGTGTCCGTTCCCTCTAATAATAACGCAACAACATAGCTTCTGTGTGGACAGACCCTGCACCTTGTTCATCCTCCTATTAAAGCCGGTGGTACATTCCGTCATGTACACATTTCACTGCATTTGAGAGACAGGATGTCTGTTTTTCTCAGGAAGATGAAAAGTAGCAAAAGAACAAATATCTAGTGTCCCCAGAAGAATTTGGTTCCTAAAGAATTAAAAAAATGTAACAACTCTTACCTGTTCCAAAGCCAATCCTTAGGCCTCCCAGAAACTGGTTGGTTAATTTGTAATGATCCCAGACAGTGAGCTCCACACAGGCCTCGGTCAGATCTTCAGGCCTGAACCCATCGTACACCATGGTGTGGTTGAAGACAGGGCTGGTCGTTTTCCCCACGGCCCTTGTCTTCTGGCGACTCTTCCTACTTGTATCTGGAAGGATGGTGCTGCAAAATGAGGCATTGTGAGAGCATTTATGCTTTCCACGTAATTCACACAGCTAGTGAGAACTGGCAAAGAATCTGGGAGCATCCTGTTGGAAAGACTCTGGGAACAGAATTGCCCAGACTTGGTTTGATCCCGACTCTGTCAGCTATTGGCTGTGTATCTGGGATGTTATTTAACCTCTCAGACAATCAAATTCTTTATAAAATGATACCAGAAGGCTGGCTTCATAAGGTTGTTATTAGATTTAAATAACACATGCAAAATTACAGCTGCAATTGATAGACTATAGACAAAAATAGAGAGACCTAGATGAGGATATTCATATCTATTAGTTACTATTTTACTAGATGCTTGGTATTTTATAAGAGAAAAAAAAAGATTTCCATTTAAAAATGCAAACTGTCTTAGGCCCTTAATGAGCTATCTCTTTGTAGGTGTTGTTTAGAAAAGCATTTGCCAAATACCTGCTGGCTGAAGTTAAAGCCCTTTACAAGAGAACCATTAAAAAAACAGTGGGGGGGGAAAAAGCTTTCTGACTTCACAAAGGAGCCAAGGGGTGTGATATCCCACCAACAACAATTCAATAAACTAGTTTTGTGCTGAATAATGTCTTTATCAGCTGATAAACCTCTGGAAGACATTGTATATCTGAGTATAAGTGTCTGGCTTCCTTTGTATATCTATCCTCTTACCTTTATGCTTTTGAAACTAAAGTATGGACCTTTAGTCACCTTTCAAGTCAGGAAAGGAATGCACCCCAGTTGCTCAATTTTCCGTGAAACAATAGGTCCAAAGGGGAACAATGGCACTAGGAAGGTGCATGCCTGAAAATATGAACCATATGGGATCAAAGGGGCAGCATTTGCCCCCAACAGAGTTCAAAAGGGTTAGGAAAGGAGGAGGAATAGAACCCGGAAACACTGGGAGGAAGTGGAATACGTGATGCTACACTGTAGCCATTGCCGTCAATGACATGAAAGAAAACAATTTTAAATTGTTGAATGGAAAATTGATGTGCTCTGTAAACCTCCACCCTGGTCATAATAAAACATTAAAAAGAGATAAACAAGCAGAACTAAATGGAGCCTTGGAGAGTCACGTCACAGATCTCTCTAGTTCATGTCTGTATTGCCTCAAGAATTCACCTGGACTATGAACAATGCATTTCGGCATCACCGATGGAGATAACTGAAGCCAACTAGAAAAAAGCAAGTTGCAGTAGACGTGAGGGAGGCAGAGTTATCAATGCCATTACCATTTAACAAAAGAATTTAGATGGCTGCCCCTTAGCATGGGTAGATGCAGGCATTCCTTCACCCAGATGTGCACTTCTCCAGCTGTAGGAAGCTTTTTACCTATCACAGAAAAAAGAGAAAATGAGTATGACTAATATCCCTTTCTTCACAATAATGCACCCAAAGGTGTCAGTCTAGAAATGGCTTCGCTTTGGGAGCATTATTTTAATAGAATAGCACTTCAGCACAATAATATTAAACTTTAGCAAAATAGTCCTTGGTCATATTATCTTAATTGGTTTAATCTGTACATTGTTAACCATCTCTTTACAATTCTTATTGTACTGAACTCAATTTTATAAAAACCATATACATAAACTGATTCCAAGTACAGAGTGATTCATCCACTCAGGCTTTTATTTAAATCATCTCAATGAAGTGCACATATCTTCCAAATACTAAATACAATATCAAATTTTTCTCATGGGAAGCATTTTAAACATAATTGTTTAGAAAGTAACCAAAGCAGGCCCTGGTTAAAGAGCAGCTGCTCTGTTCAAAGTGATTTTATACATGTACAGGGTACTGTGTAAACACACCTAACCAAACCAAACCCATGGCTATTGAGTCAATTCCAACTCAGGTGACCCGATGAGACAGAACAGAATGGCTTCTTAGGGTTTCTGAAACTGCTAGTCTTTACCAGAGCTGACATCTTTCTCGTGTGGAGTGACTGAGGGGTTAGAACTGCCTATTTTGCAGTTTGCAGCCCAACATTTGAGCCACTGTACCACCTAGGCTCCTTACACACATAACAGGGGATAAGAACTTACTGAAAAGCTGCCTTGGCTTGAAACTATTATCTAGGCTGGGTGCACCTGGACCGAGAAACACTACCAGATTTTTCCCTGAATGTGAATCGCCCAATTAGTCAACCAACAAATATTTCAGGAGCATTTATCGTGTGCTCAGCCTTTTGTGAGGAATGTTACTGGCTGTACAAGGCATACAAGAAAACAAGCTCATGAAAAAAATTTCCATTTTCTTTTAATTCTTTTTCCATGAATTGTTTTGAAACCCTTTCATTTGTCTTTGGAAACATTAAAAATTAAGCTAGAGAAAGTAATTAAAATAAAACCCATAAAATTGTAATATGGAACTAAATGCCACATTATTACTGGAATCTTCTAGAAGAAAAAGGTCATCAGTGAGAACTACTATAATGAGGAAACGTTTTATGGAGGAGAGCGGACATCAACTGAAGCAAGGATAGGTTGTGAAGAGCAAACGATTTTAGGGAAAAGGAACAGAGGGAGCAAAAACACGGACAAAGGAGCAACAGCATAAGCAAAATCCTATCCCAACACACAGTCCCTTCTCCCCTGAAGACCAGGAGGAAAATGGGCCGGCAGCCTTTCTATGCCTGTTGGTCGTACGTGGGGTGCTGTTGAGTTGATTTTTCGACTCACAGAGACTCGTGTGATGGACTAAAAGAACCTGCTGGATTTTCCAGGCTGTCATCTTTATGGCGGCAGATGGTTCCAACCACCAACCTTTCATTTAGCAACATATGCAAGCAAATCGTTGCCACCGAGTCCGTTTCCGTGTATCAGAACGCGCCTGTTTCAACACCAGGTCTCCTCTGATCATAACTACTGTGTGCTGGGTCCATCTGGAGCCATGCTGTTGCTGGGTGCTACTGAGCCAGTTCGGACTCACAGAGACTCTACGCATGACCGAATGAAACACTGCTTGGTTCTGAGTTGGACTCACAGTTCAAACACGCCGAGTCTTCTTCGAGCTTCCTTATTCAATATCCAACTTGCACATACACATGAGACAATGGATAATACAGTGGTTTGGGGTGGGCACACCTTAGTCCTCAAACTAGCTTAACTTTTCAACATTTTAAAGAGGTCTTATGCAGCATCCTTTGATCTCTTGACAGCTGCTTCCACAAAATCTTTGACAAATTCAATCTCTTCTCCATTTATCAAGATGGCACCTATTGGTCCACTTGTGAGGATTTTCATCTTTTTTTAAAATTTTCATCTTTACACTGAGTTGCAACCCATATTGAATGCTTGAATGCTTGACCTTCATCAGCCTTCAAGTGCTCCAAGTCCTCTTCACTTTCAGCAGCACATTGCAGGTGTTTAATAAGCCTCCTTTCAATCCCGATGCCACATTCTTTCCCATATAGTCCAGATTCTCCAATAATTTGCTCAGCATAAAAATTAAGTAGGTGCGGGCAGAGGATACAACCCTGACACACACCTCTCCTGATCTTAAACCCTGGTTCTTTTCGAACAACTGCCTCTTGATGCATGTACAAGGTCCACAGGAACACAAGGAGATGCTCTGGAATTCCCACTCTTCTTAAGGCTATGCATAGTTTGTTACAATCCACACAGTCAAATGCCTTGGCACAGTCAATAAAACACAAGTGAACATCTTTCTGGCATTCTCTGCTTTCAGCCAACACCCACCTGCCATCAGCAATGATATCCCTTGTTCCACGTACTCTCTGAATCCAACCTGTCAAAGTACTATTGCAAGCATTGTTGGATGATCTTCAGCACAATTTTACTTGCATGTGATAGCAATGATATTGTTCTATAACTTTCTAATTCTGTTGGGTCACTTGTCTTTGGAATGGATACAAATAAGGATCTCTTCCAGTCAGTTGGTAAAGAAGCTGTCTTAGAAATTTTCTGCCTTTAGACAGTGATTGCTTCCAGTGCTTCATCAGCTTTTGTTTTTAAAAAAATCATTTTATTGGGGGCTCATACAGCTCTTATTACACATACACACATTGTGTCAAGCACATTTGTACATTAGTTGCCATCGTCATTTATTTTTGTTTTATTTATTTATTTTTAAATTGGGAGCTCATACAACTCTTATCACAATCTTCATCAGCTTTTAAAGACATTTCAACTGATAGTCCATCCATTCTTGGAGAGTTTTTTTTGGCTAATATTTTCAGTGCACCGTGAACTTCTTTCAGTACCATTGCTTCTTTTACACATGCTCACTCCTGAAATGGTTTAATGTCATGTAGTTTTTTTGGTACTGTGACTGTATATTTTTCCTATCTTCTCTTGATGCTTCCTGCATCATTCCATATTTTGCCCATAGAATTTTTTAATATTGCAACTCGAGGCTTGAATTTTTTTCTTTAATTCTTTCAGTTTATGATATATGTGTGTTCTTCCCTTTTGATTTTCTAACTCTAGGCCTTTGCACATTTCATTACAGTATTTTACTTTGTTCTCGAGCTGCCCTTTGAAATATTCTTTTCAGCTCTTTGACGTCATCATTTTGTCTGTTTGCCTGAGCTACTCTGCAATGAAGAGCAAGTTTCAGGGTCACTTCTACCATCCATGCTAATCTTTTCTTTCTTTCCTGTCTTTTAAAATGACCTTCTGCTTACTTCATGAGGCTCCTGATGTTCTCCACAGCTCATCGCGTCTTCTTTCATCAGTGTTCAGTCCTGCAAATCTGTTGTTGAGATGTTTTCCAATTTTAGGTGGAATATACTTGCCTCCATTTTCCTCAGCTTTAAACTGAACTTGCATATGAACAATTGTTGGTCTGTTCCACAGTCAGCCCTTAGCCTGGTTTTAGCTGCTAATATTGAGCTTCTCTATTGTCTCTTCCCACAGATGTAGTCAATTTGATTTGTGTGTATTCCATCTGGAGAAATCCACACTACTTCTATTGTTGAAAAAAGGTATTTGCTATGAACAATTTGTTGGTCTTGCAAAATTCTATCATATGATATCCAACTTCATTTCTATCATCAAGTGCATATATTCCAGCTACTGTTCCTTCCTCTTTGTTTCGACTTCGGTATTCCAATCATCAGTGTTTATCAATGTTGAGTGCATGTTTGATCAGTTTCAGATTGGTAGAATCCTTCAAGTTCTTTAATGGTTCATAAGTAAATTTGAATAGTTGTACTGCTTGGATTTCCTTGAAGGAGGATAGATATAAGCCTATCATGGAAGCACTGAACTTCAAGAAAGGTCTTGAAATGTCCTTTTGGGTATAAATGCATTGTCAATGCTCTTGACTCGTCATCCCCAGCATAGTAGACCATGTGCTTTTCTGAGTCAAAATGGCCAATACCAGCCCATTTCAGCTCACCAATGCCTAGGAGATGGATCTTTATAGGCTCCATTCATTTT